GACATATTAGATATATTTGATTTATTTGTTATATCCATCTATGTATTAATTTAATATAAATAGAGAGCAATAGAATCGTGTAAACAGTAGTTCGCTTTTAGTTCACTTTTTGTTTTCCTTTAGTTTTGCTTTTAGGTTGACATCTAGTAGTCCTTGTAGAGGCGCCTGGCCTAACATTTCACTTAGTATCTTAACTCTTTTGATTTCTTTCTTATTCCTTCATATTTTTCTTATTTACTATTATTATTTCTTATTATTATTATTTCTATCAATAAACATATTATTATACCGCTAAATCAATCAAATTGCTCTACTTCTAAGTTTTATCGTGAATACCTTACCGTGTAGATTATAAATCTCAAGTTAAATTGAATTTGAGTCACTACGTAAACTTAAAAGAATCACCACTCGAACACCTCGTCTAACAGTCACAATTCGCAAGGATTGCACGTTAACAATATGTATAAATTGGTCAAACCATTATTTTGAATTAAGTCTTATAAGACTTGTTGTGAGTTTCGTATGATATTTTTCATTTGAGTCCAGGTAATTGAACATTCTCAAACATAGGAAAAGGTTTCATTAACGCATTAACATTTGACACAAAATCATGATGAATCAAAAATGCTAGGGTGTCTTTCTTTTAAGATCTCTATAGTAAGAAGCATTTCTAAGAGTCGTTAGACTTTTTTCTTTCAAATTGCTAAGACTTTATATAATGTATATGCTGCAGTAATATTATCATTAATGTAAAAATATGTGACAGTCCAGTTAATGTTCAAATGTTAGTACTTGCTAAACACGTGAAAATGCCTTATCTTATCATATATGATGGATTGTATTAGGTTTTTTATAAAGAGTCAGATAGGTGTCAAGATCTCCAGATCTTCATATTTGTAGTAGTAATGATCGCTATAAAAGAGATTAAACCTAAGCATTGCTGTTTTGTAAGAGTTCTTTGCAAAATACAGTTCACCCTTTCTATAACGAATCTTGTGTTCTGAAGGTTACACTTCGCTATAGCAAGGGAATTCGTTAACTGTATATAATGAATAAAGATAAGATTTTCGCTATACAAAAATATTCACGTGATATGTACTAATTATTAATTTAAATGTGACGCATTGATTAAAATATTCCTTTATTATATATTACGTTACTCAAATACCATTACAATGCTATTTATTACCTATGCCGGCTATGCCAACTTCCCATATATTATTTATAAAGGATATTCTGATCGATCTGGTATTCAATAAAACCTTGACAATCATCTTCATGATCATGAAATCCGTACTCATTAAAATATGAAGCTCCAAAATTAATATTTTCTATGTCTATAATATTATTATTAATACCCTCTCTGTTCATATTATTATTACCACTCAGATCACTATAAAAAGTATCATTTGACTTGAGATTACTATCTTCACTTTGAACAAATAAATTTAAGCTCGTTTGTTTTTTGGAAAAAAAATGATTTCTATAAACTGATTTTCTAACATTTTTCATTACTTTTAAAGTATTTTTATCAATAATATTTTGATTTTTATCTTGTTTTAAATAGTCAAAAATTGTATCAAATGCAACTAAAGCATCAGAACTCATTACTGAAATAATATTCTCATCTCTTTTATCATCAGAAATGGGATTATTTTCTTTAAAAATGGCAACAATCTGTTCTTCAGATAATGGTATACCAGGATTTTCATTTTTCTGATCTAACCTAATATATTCTTCAGCAGTAAGAGGGTGTATATACTCAAGTTTATTGATTAGATCTTGAATTTCTCTGTGCTCATCCTCATTTATCTCTTCATGTTTATCATCTTCTATTTCATCATAGAGATTTGTATCATCTGGCAAAATTCCTGTTTCATTCCAGCAGTTAAATATAGTTTTAGAAAGAACTTTATTCCAGGCCAAAGCTACATATTTGATAGCTTTTTTGATATTAATTGGAGATTTGTTACGACCTGTTTCTTATTGATAGTCAAAGGCCTTGATACGATTTTGAAGAAACAATTTTCGATATTGCGCCTACAAAATGCAGATACTGTAAGTTAAAATTAAAATTTTTAATTATCAAAATTGGTTTGAAATTTTAGTACCTTAAAGCTGTTTATAATGCCTTTATCACATGGCTGAAGGTGCGCAGTGGTGTTAGGAGGTAAAAATTCAATTTTTATATTGGTTAATTCCACATTTTCATATAAAGCATGAACAGGTGTATTATCCACAAGAAGAAGAATATTTCTTTCCTTTAATCTCATTGCTGCATCAAGCTGATGAATCCAATCATTCCAAATAGAAACCTGCATCCAAGCTGTTGAATTCCAGTAATATTCCACTGGTAAAGATCTTTTCGATAAATTTTTTAGAGGACAAGGATTTTTATATTTGTGGATAAATACTGGTTTGAGTTTTTCTGTACCAGTTGCATTAGAACAAAGAAGAATTGTCACACACTCTTTTGATTGTTTTCGCCCAAATACAGGTTTATTGGAAATTATCCTTTTGGGTTCCATTTTCCAATACAAACCCGTTTCATCACAATTGAAAACATCTTCAAGACTATAATCACGAATCAAATCTTGAAGTTTTTTTCTGAATTCATCAAATTGATCAAGAGGCACATTTGCAGCTTCTCCTTGTTTTAAATAACAAGAAAGGTTATGTCTTTTTTTAAACCCGCCAAACCAACCATTACTTTCTTTAAAATTTTCAATTTTATATAGAGAAGCAAATACCATGGCTTTTCATGTAAAATTTGATCACTGATATCAACACCATGTTCTAAAATCTTTAATATCCATAATGTAAGAGCTTCTTCAATTTCTGGAAAATTTACCTTGTTCTGTCTTTTACCTTGAGCTTCGGGTGTTTGGGAATCAATTTCAAACCATTTTTGTGATTTTTTTAATGTATCACTAATACATCCTTTGCTAACATTATATATTACTGCTAGTTCTTTATTTTTTATAGAAGGCTCAGTAACTTTTCTAAGACATATTTCATGTTTTTGGGCAAGAGTTAAAGATATTCTTTTTGGCAAAGTATCTTTTGCTTGGGAATTTTTACTTTGTGTATTGTTAGTTTTAGGCATAGTGGCGTGTGAAAAAAAGAATTGATTGAAATTCTAACTTCTAAAGGCAAGTTTAAATTGACTTTATTAATTTCACGTGATCAAAATTCATTAATTAATTGTGTGACATTTTAAAAATTCAGTATAGCGAAAATCTTCACTATATCAAGGATCATTTTATTATACTTATTCTAACATGCAAATTTGAGTTACGAGTTACAAAATATTTACAATAAAATTTGCTATATTAAGTATTATTAATTATAAAATAATTTGTACCTGAACTTTTCTTTATTATAATAAGTTCTTCGCTATAAAAAAATTCGGTATAGAAAAGGTGAACTGTAATCAACTTTGTCATTTAATATGTCTCTTGAATGTGCTTTAACTTTACAGAGACATATATTGAGGTGTTATAATTTGATAACCTCAAAGAGGCTTAGCCATATCGAAAAATTGTTAATTTTGAACAGTGGTCTGGTAGATAAGGAAAAACACAAAATTTTTTTGAAATTGTGAAATTGTCTAATCATAACTTGTGAATCTATCATAATGGTAATATAACTATTTCATGAGGTAGTGAGAACAGCAGTGAAAATTGCTGCTAGCTTCGCTACTAATGATGAGGGAAATGTAATAACTAATGCAGATGAAAAGGAGACCATAGGTAAACATGGATTTGTTTGCAGTCAAGCCATACCTATTCTCATAGAAGGAGTGCCTAAGCCTATAAGAGAACCGTTTGTATAAAATTCTAAATATGTGGCAGCAGAAAATTGTTGTGAAAGAGTTAATAGGTCTTGATTATGTGATAGCATAATAAATTTTGATATTAATGAGAGAGGTGCAGAATGGCGAAATTCAATCAAGGATAACTGAAAGAGACTATTATAAAACGATTAAAAATGTAGAGTGCAATATCTTTCATAAGAATTGAAGACTAAGTGTTAATGTATTGCTTTCAAGTATCATTGAGTACTATATTCACACAGAGGTCAAGGGCATGATCACTATGCAATTGTATTTCTTAAATATAAGAAGTTATTCTTGAATAATGTGGGTCTATTGAGTGAACAGCCATTACATTGATACAGAATTATTTCAGTAGCGTGAATGTACGTATAATGAATGATATCAGCAAAACTGCTTGCTATCTTCAGAATATAATCTATTATCATCATATTAGCATTACAGTCCCAATGTATAATGAATGAACAGATTGTTATTTCATCTTTTAGAGGTATCAATAGGAATCCATAAGTGATGTTGTGTCTATATATTGCAGGTTCAGGTAAAGAGTTGAGCTCGTCAACATTAAGTATGCTTTTAGCCTTGAGATACTATTTTGAAAGCGGTCTTTTCCTAGAAATTGATGATAAATATCTAAGATCTTAGATAATATATAATGACTTTCCATCACAGCTTATTAATTGTTTTACAAACATTAGGAAATATTTGGACAAGGATAAGGCTGATTTCCTGTAGTCTTGTAAGATAATTAATTGAATAGTAGTAGATCTACCTTGTATTCTATAATTAAATTGATCCATTAAGGATAAGGTAATATTCAAGCGTTTAAGATCACATAAAAGTGCTAGGATTCAGTTGTTAAAATATTTAGCATTTTTGTAAGGCCATTCAATTAGCGGTGATTTTGATAGCCATTTCTTGACTTATAGTTGTAACATCCGTATATTAGTGGATAGGCCTAGTAGACTAGTATCATTAAAGGACATTGTTAAGCCTAAACATTACGTCGTTAGGATAACAAAGCTTATTTGCTAACAGGGAGTTTAAATGGTAAACTATGAAAGAAATAAACACGAATT